GGGTGCTAGGGCCCCCCCCCCCACCCCCTGCCATGACTTCTACCAGTTTGCCTGCGGAGGCTGGATGAGAAAGAACCCGCTGCCTGACGGACGCTCGCGCTGGTCCACTTTCAACAGCATCTGGGAACAGAACCAGGCGCTGCTCAAACACCTACTGGGTGAGACAGACAGGACACCCCGACCTGCTTCTGTCTGGTGTCTTTGTTTTCCAGTTTTTCTTTGTTTTTCAGCTACAAAAATCCAGGGGGGGGGGGGGGGGAAGAAGTTGGTTAAAGAAATAAACTACAAGCAGCAGCAGCAGCAGGGACTTTATGAACTTTTTCTGCCCTGGGTTTTGCTTCTGAGGCAGCACATGGCTGAGAAGGAGTACATGCAAGACACTGGGTGGTAGGTAGACCAGAGCAGAGTTGTACCACTGGGAGAAGGCCAGTCCTGCAAGAACACAGTATTTTTAATTTACCTGCAATCTATGAAAACTTGGAAAGAAATGGATGCAAAAGGAGGGAGGGACTGGATTATAAAAGAACTCGGGTGCAGGATATTGCACTGATTGGACATGTGGTTTTGTTTAGTATTGTTGTCCTCCCGCTCACTCATGTTCGTGTCCTGTTTCCATTCAAATACTGGAACAAACAATGAGAAGCTTTCAGTAACACACGCTGTCTGATCTTATCTGACCCAGACTGTGATGACCGTGTTTCCTCTGGCTGTAAGTGTAGGTCAGTGAATTTAAAGGTGATTTTCAGTGTAACTGAAGCATTTCAAAGTTGATATGTCAAATTCAAATCAAATCAGATTTTATTTGTATAGCACCAAATCACAACAAAAGTCATCTCAGGACACTTTACAAACTAAGGTCTAGACCTTACTGTTATCAATATTATTACATAGGGAAAATCCCAACAAATCCCCCTTGAGCAAGCACTTGGCGACAGTGGGGAGGAAAAACTCCCCTTAACGGAAGAAACCTCCGACAGACCCCGGCTCTTGGTGGGCGGCCTTCTGCCTCGACCGGTTGGGGTGAGTGGATAGAGGAGAGACAAAAGAAGAAAAGCAACAAGACACAACAATCAAACACTGATCAGGTCGATGTGGCTGGTGACTGCTCGTCAGAGACGTAGAGCTCCAGGGCCAGGGCAACCTGGAGAAAGGTACAGGAAGAGAAAGAGAAGACACACTACAGGAGAGAGGAGACACAAAGTTAGTAATGTGTAATGGTGGCATATAAAAGCATAGGGAGAGAGGAGGGGAGAGAAACTCAGAGCATCATGGGGCCCCCCAGCAGCCTAGGCCTATAGCAGCATAATTAAGGGAAGGCTCAGGGTCACCTGATCCAGCCCTAACTATAAGCTTTATCAAAAAGGAACGTCTTAAGTCTAATCTTAAAGGTAGAGAGGGTGTCCGCCTCCCGAACTGAGACTGGGAGTTGGTTCCATAGGAGAGGAGCTTGATAGCTAAAGGCTCTGCCTCCCATTCTGCTTCTGTGGACTCTAGGAACCACAAGTAAACCTGCACTCTGAGAGCGAAGTGCTCTGTTAGGATGATAAGGCTCTACGAGGTCTTTAAGATACAATGGAGCCTTGTCATTAAGGGCTTTGTATGTTAGAAGGATTTTAATTTTTAAATATGTGCAGTGTATAGTAACAAGATCTGTGTAGTTTGCAGACCTCCCAGTGAGGTCACAGATGTGGTAACAAGTTAGAAAATGAACTTAACACTCCCTGGTCTAGTAAAATAAAACTAGAATTTCAGCTTCGAGGTCATATGCCTCCACCTACCAGTCAAAGTCCCAGGAATGGGACAGACCTGACCTTGACCTTTTAATACCAAATCTAGCCAGTTCATCCTTTTAAGCGACAACTTGAACCCTTGACTGTGTGTGTTCTTTAGAGAACGGGACTTTTAACGGCACCAGTGAGGCAGAGAAGAAGACCCAGTCCTACTACCTGTCCTGTCTCAACACGCAGAGGATCGAAGAGCTGGGAGCTCAGCCTCTCATAGACCTCATCACCAAGGTAACAACTCGTATAGCTTGCTGCCATGGTAACTGCATCGGTCAGGTACAACAGTGTCACATGCTTAAACTCTAAACAAACGCTCGTGTCTAAAGCTGTGAAGAGATAGATGTGTTCGGGGGTGGGGGTCCTCAGGTCAAATCTTGTTCCATTAAGAGATTCCTAAATACAAATGTGTTTAACGGAGTCTCAGAGTCCAGCAAGTGAGGAGAAGTGAAGGCGGGGTCAGTAGAAGGGTGATGACTGCTGGACAGGATCCATGAAGGCTCCTGATCTCTCTTGTGCCCTCCAGAGGATGAACCGTTTAGGTTTTAGTGCTTCTCTTCTCTCTGACTTTCATCTTTGTTATATGGGGTACATCCCAATTCCCTTAACTAATCCTTCCTCACAGCTTGAAGGGTGTCCCAAAGGATGAGGGATGAGGAAAGGACATCTCATGCCATTAATAACATGCTTCCTTGATTCCTCTCTCTTGGCAGCTTTCGTGGGCAAGACTAAGACACACTGAAAGTCTTTACTGAGTAAAAATGAACCAGTGCTGTTTTTGTACATAGGAAGGTGGTGATCTCGCTCTTTACTGTTGACCAGTGGTGGAAGACGTGCACAGGTCTTTTACTTATGTATGCAAATGTAATCAGAAAAATGTGCCTCAAGTATTAATGTCAAGTTAATGTTGCATGTGGTTGTGGACATGAACCGAACCAGCAGCTCATTACTGTTTTCACCGTGGATTAAAGTTCTCATTATTCTCTCACTTAATTGATTGTTTAGTTTGTGAAAATCCTGGCAACAGTGAGAAAGTCGTAGCAGTTTCCCATCCTGAACGTTGTTGCACATAAATTACATTTATTAAAGTGATCAAAAGGAAAAGCAGCAAATCTTCACATTTCAAAAGCTGGAACCAGGAAATTAACTATTTTAATGTGGAAAAATGAAGTTTCCTGTCAATCAACTAATCACTTAATCAGCTGGTAACACCCATGGAGTGCAGTAAAGAGTTCAGCGTTTCCCTGTGAAATGTGGTGGAGGTGGTGGAGTAGTATGAATCAGCAGGGAATGGAAATGCCTCACAGTTGTACTTGAGTAAATGTCCATTACTTTCCACCACTGCTGTGAATGCTCTGCAACTGGTCAAGTCATCGGCGTGCGTGTGCGCAGTAATGAGCAGTTCGCTCTCTCTGCAGATCGGGGGCTGGAACCTGACGGGTCCCTGGGAGAAGAACAACTTCATGGAGGTCCTGAAGGTGGTTTCTGGTCCGTACAGAGCTCAGCCTTTCTTCAGCGTCGGAGTCAGTGCTGATCCCAAAAACTCCAACAGCAACGTCATCCAGGTAAACCAGACCAGTCAGTCCCATTTAAAGGATTCTACAACTGGAACCTGGAAATGTCTTGTTCAGATCTGTAATTACTGTCGGCTGGTGTGCAGCTTCATCTAAAGTTTCAGGTACCGCGTTTGAGGAATACGAGGTTAAACCATAAAGATTAGCTCCATAGTGCTTTAAAAGGCTGCCTTGTCTTTAGAAGAACATCATTAAGGCAGCTTTATGTTTTATAGCAGTGGTCCCCAACCTTTTTATCACTGCGGACCGGTCAACGCTCGACAATTTTACCGCGGCCCGGGGGGGTACGTAGGTTGTTTATATTGTTAATATAATAAACGTGAATCCACTGTGTTGAAATTTTTAACTCCCCATAACGCTAAAACAATGGGAGCCCTGAACTTGTTTCTCTGCAACGAGACGGTCCCATCTGGGGGTAATAGGAGACAATGACACCCGAAGTGTGTTGCTTATGTTCAGTCTACTCCGTTGTTTTGTTTTGGTTGCTGTCACTGCAGAAAAACCCGCTTCACACAGATAGGATGTCGGAAATGGCAACAGGATTTTCAGTGCTGTGGTGGCGATCTCAGGGTATTCTGTCATGACTTTAATCCAGAACACCGACAGAGTTGTTGTCTCGAACATACTTTTAAGGCCGCCGTCATTTGCGATCTCCAGCAGTTGATCTTCTTCTTGCACAGACCTGCTGGATTCACCTGGTTTGTTGACAAATGGGTTGCGGATCCATTCCTTGGCAGTTCGTGGGTCCTTTGTGGTTGGGAAGTAGCGCTCAAATTCTTTTAAAAGCAAAGACAGGTGATCGTGCACCAGCTGGGAGAATGAAGGCTCTGGCTCAGTCTCACCCAAAATCCCCGCTAATGTTTGAAACATGTCCAAAATGCCTCTGTTGACGCGCCGTCCCCACAAATCCAGTTTGGCTTTAAATGCAGCTACTTTATCTGTCAACTTGAAGACAGTTGTCATTTTCCCCTGAAGTGACAGATTGAGTTCATTGAGCAGGCTGAATATGTCGCACAAGTAAGCCAGTTTTGGCGCTCAAGTGACCGAGATGTAACCGAGAGAATGCGGTCATTTTTCAAAATAAAAGATCGTTCAGACTCAGATAATAAATAAAACGGAAATAATTAATGATTTCTTGTGCGGCCCGGTACCAATTGATCCACGGACCGGTACCGGTCCGCGGCCCGGGGGTTGGGGACCACTGTTTTATAGCACACTTCATACACAGAGGCCATTCAAAGTGCTTTACATGGCCAAAGACTAACATTAACAGCATTGAAGACAAAAACAGACAAATGTCCCAGCTGAATATATTTGTCTAAGATGTCATTGACCCGACTTCCTCTTGGAAACGTGTCTGACTCACCTGTGGATCTCCTCTGCAGGTGGACCAATCAGGACTCTTCCTGCCGTCCAGGGACTATTACCTCAACAAGACGGCCAATGAGAAGGTGAGAGTTCAAGTCAACTTCAGATTATTTGAGGCTTCAGTGTCAACTTTATAACACAGATGTTTGAAGAGGAATCCCAGTGTGAATTTTCAGTTGAACTGCTTGTGTGCTGTTTCCACTCCTGCTCTGCTGGTCCCAGGTGCTGGCAGCGTACCTAGACTACATGGTGGAGCTGGGGATGCTGCTGGGGGGAGAGAGGAGCTCCACGCAGTTTCAGATGCAGCAGATTCTGGAGTTTGAGTCAGAGCTCGCTAACATTACTGTCCCACAGGACCAACGTCGCGATGAGGAGAAGATCTACCACAAGGTCACCATCGCTGAGCTACAGGTAAGGCTCGCCTAAGGGCCCGAGTGTGTTTCTGAGTTCAGGTCCAAGTGAAGTGCTTCTGTGAAACGTGGTGTTCATGTCTGCATGGATGCGATTGTCCCCCACACCTGTAGTGGTGAAACCCTGCGCTCATTTTCAAGGACTGTGAGGCCTCTTGGTTTCTTTGTTCTCTTTTAGTAACTTCAGCTGGACGTGAACGTTTCTGCACTCTGGGGAAAGGTTTGTCCCTGTGTCACCTCATCACTTAATTTGAGTTTCTTTCTGGGAGGATAAATGAGAGCTCACAGCTGAATTAAGTTAATTATAAAGAGACTGTATCCCATCTGAGCAGCTTCTTTAGGGCCAGTACTAATGAAGTGCATCATTTCCTTCACCTTCTGCAGCTGACTGTGTCTCACTGACATGTACGGTGTGGTGATTCTCTAAAGCTGCTCAGTTACAGGTTAGAAACACTTGTTAACATGAACAGAGATGGTATGTTGTCATCAGTAGTACTGGTCTGAGTATGTTGCAGTGTCTCTGCAGCTCTGTCCTTCAGGGCTGCAGATGCTTCTGGGGTCACCATGGTGACTGTTGCCATGAGCTGTTGCTATGTGCCTGCATCTCTGAGAGGGGGTTAGATAACAGGTTATTATATAAACATGACTGATACGAACATGGAGATTTCAGATGCAGTGCCTGTCGGCAAAGATGACTCTGAGGCCTTCATCCTGAAGTTTTGTTTGTTCATGTGGGACACTACACATTAATCACTTCTTTTAGCAGCATCAGTGTAAATGTGCTGGGCTAGCTAAGCAGCTAAAAGTGGGGACACATGCCAAGTGGCTGAGACTGATCAGGCCACATTTACACACCGTTTCCACCAGCATGTGCAGATGTTTAGTCCATGACAGTCAGGAAGCAGCACACAGCTGATGGCTGAGTAAACACTAGACAACACAAAACTGTGCTCTGAATGGTTGGAACATAAGATGAAGCTTTATTAGTCCCACGACGGGGACCTTCACACTGTTACAGCAGCAAAGTGACAGAAACAGGCACTTGGTGTTAAGAATCAAAAAGTACCAGACGTTATTATCAATATAAACAAAAGCTATAATAATAAAAAGGTAAAAACATCCTGCACTGTTATTCAATCTGTCAATGGGGGCAGCAGTGCTGGTTGTACAGCCTGACAGAAACGGGAAGGAAGGGCCTGCGATAATGCTCCGTCACAAACTCAGGGTGGAGCTGCCCGGTGCTGACAGTCTCGTGCATGCGGTGGGCATCCTTCTCCAGCAGGGATGCCAGACTGTTGAGCATCCTCCTGTCAGTCACCACCTGCACTGGGTTGAAGGGACCTAGCAGGACAGAGCTGGCCCTCTTGACCAGTTTGTCAGCTCTTCGGTCTACCCCGCACTGATCTGGAGGCGATTTTGCAAAGTCCTAGATCAACTCCCTGTCATCCTCGTCTGATGAGGCCAACGATCGTGGAGTCAACAGAGAACTTCTGCAGGTGACGGTTCAGTCAGCTGTACATAAAGTCTGCAGTGTACAGGGTGAAGAAGAACAGCAGAACCTGTACATCCCATGAGATCATGTCAGTTCTCGCGTTGTCTTGTACCAAGACGAGCATGGACACAACCAGCTCACACTGTTGATGTTCATCCACGGTTTACAGTTCAGTTTGTACTGAAAATGGCAAAAGGGGGCGAGGTCCTGGATGGAGAAGCATGGACAGCAAGGACTGGAAACCAGTCTTCCCCACTTCAGCTCTTTACTGCAAATTCAACAACTGGGCCTGAAGACTGAAGGTTAGTCTTTACATGCCACGCTGCTGTTCCCCGACTGGAATAGACTCAGTCCATCACAGCACCAACACACAGTCAACCTAACATGCATGTCTCTGGACTGTGGGAGGAAAGCCACACAAGAAAAACATACTGACTCCACACAGAAAGGCCCCAGTTGGCTGAGGTTCAAACCCAGAGCCTTTTTGCTGTGAGGCCACATTGCTGATCACTGCACCCTGTTTTCAGACTGGAGACTCTATTTTACACCTGACAGTAGAGCAGCTTCTCTAGGTTTTGTAGCCGATTAATAGTCAAACGCTGAAGAACTAGTGAAAGGTCTGAAGCGTCTGCTGTTGGGTCGCTAATCCTGCTCACAGTGCCCTTTGTCTGCAGTCAAACTGTGTTAAACCACTGAAGGTTACTGGCAATGAATTAAATTTTTCCTGCATCTGCTGATCCTGTCAGAGCATCAAACTTGTAATTATTGGTCCTTTCTTGTTGTTTGGACCAAACGTACCAGGTTTCTGTTTTGGCTCTGTCACCTGGTTCACAGGTTTTACAGTGGGGAGTCTGCAGCTTTTATCTTTTGGCTGTTTGAAGCTGCAGCAGAGATTAGTTTTTCATCTCCACATCGCCCCCACCCCCTGGGTGGTGCAGTCTGTTTGATACTGAGGGTTACTACTGAGACAGACCAGCCTGAGGTAACTTTCTGACTTCCTTTTGAACAGGAACGGTAACATGAAACTGTCCTGGTTCAATCCTCAAAACAAACAGTTTAGAGTCACCAGTCAACTAAGCTGCATGTCTCTGGACTGTGGGAGGAAGCCGGAGTACCCGGAGAGAACCCATGCAGGCACAGGGAAAACATGCCCTGGACTGTGACCCCCCCCTACTGTCTATGTGCATCTCAATCTCACAACCATCACAGTATTGGCCACAGCACCACCATGCTGCAAGATGAGCACCTGTGTTAGAAAATATCTGGTTATTTTATTAGAGTTGAAGCTACTATAAGCCTGTGGGCATTAAAAACTGAAGGAGAGACATCAACTAAGACTCCCAACAGTCTCCTTCACATGTATACGCAGTCCAATATTTAGCTTCAACTTAATGATTATACTTAGAAACCTCACAAAACATTCAGCTCTTTGTTCCTGCACCAGTTTGAGATCAGGCTGATCTTTCCTGAAAGAGCAGTAGCAGCTGAGGCTCACTTGTAGTGTTGAAAGCTGAGCACACAGGAAATGTAAAGTTGCAGGTTTCTGAGACCTGCAGCCCCTGGTCTCCCTGTCAGCTGGTTTTTAGTCTTCTTTCCTGTGTACTGTCTGTTTCCTTTTCCAGATGCTGGCTCCGGTGGTGGACTGGATGGACTACCTGTCATCCTCCCTGTCCTCTCTGGAACTGAATGACACTGAACCTGTTGTCCTGTATGCCAGAGAGTACCTGCAGCAGGTGTCTGACCTCATCAACAAGACGAACCGCAAGTGAGTAGCTTTATACAGTATCCGCCTCATTTTTATCACCCGCAGAACCATCAGCATTGCTGATGACACCTCCCACCCTTCACACTCCCACTTAAAGACTCCTGCCTTCAGGGAGAAGGTATCAGAGCCTTCAGGCCCACTCCACCAGACTTACAGCTTTATCCACCAGGCTGTGAGGATGCTGAACACTGTCCATTACCTCCCCCCCTCTGCCCCTGGATTGTGACCCACCACAGAACATAAAAAGACTACCTCTGCTGTTTGTAAAAACTCAGTACATTCCCCCTTCTTGTTATATTACATGTAAATCTGCTGCTGCATTTGCACTACTGTTCATGTGCATGTCAGTCTCACAACCATCTGACAATCTTCTTGTTATTTTTTGCACTACTGTCACTGATTGTACAGGGTTTGAGTCATAGCCTATTAGGTTGTACCATTTAGTTTTACCCTAATCATTTTGACTTAGTTTTCTTATTCTTTTCAGTCTATTATTCTATTTTAGTTTCCTAAATGGTATGCCATTCAATACTAGGTGAGAGAGAAATGGTATTTCGTTTTTCTGTATGTCCTGCACATATAGTGGACTGACAAGAAAAATCTTTGATCTTGATTTAACAACAGTTGTATAATGAAGCATTCTGTTGATTGGACTAGACAAGACTCAGGGAAACTGAGTTGAAGGGGAAACCCCCTACATTGCCAACAGAAAGAGTCCTTTGACAGTATTTCTTTAAAATTTGGTGCAGAGGTTCATGTTCTGTACTGAACTGTAAAAATTTTGCTGATCGTCTGACTTTTCTTCTGGCGCCATCATTTGGTCACCATTTTCATTTCTCCAATGCTTCGGTGTATGTCCAAATATTTGCAAATCCAACAGCATTCAATCAGCCTCAGCTCTTTGTATTTACTGCTAATTAGCTAGTGTTGGCATGCTAAGCTATGGTGAACATAGTAAGGATCCTGCTCTCTCTCTGTTCAGTCTGCTGAATAACTACATGATGTGGACGCTGGTTCAGAAGACTGTGGCCAGTTTGGATCAACGCTTTGAGAACGCTCAGGACAAACTGGTGGAGAGTCTCTATGGGACCAAGAAGGTACTTATACTACAGATACTGCTTCCATTACTGCAATTATTGCTCCTACTGATACTGAGTTATTTCTTTTACTACAGCAGGTATAAATGCTTCTAATGATACGATGACTACAGTTACTGCGGTTGGTAATCTTCCTTCCTGTTAGAGGTTCTCGCACTCCATCCAGACTGCTTCAACTGGTTCTTCTTCCACTTTCGGCTGTTCCCGTTAGGGGTTGCAACAGCGAATCATCAGTTGACCCCATGCTAAACTTAGCATGTTTTACACCAGATACCCTTCCTGATGAAGTCTAATTTAGAGTCACCAGTCAACCTAACCTGCATGTCTTTAGACTGTGGGAGGAAGCCGGAGTACCCGGAGAGAACACGCAGGCACAGAGAGAACATTCAGACTCCACACAGAAAGGCACTGGGTTGGTGGGGCTTGAACCTGGAACCTTCTTAAACTGCTTCAGCCGGTTTTAATTGGCTTAATTGTGTCTAACTTTCTGGCTTGGATCAGTACTAACTGGAGGTAGCTAGTTCAAAGCGGTACTGGTGATGATGGGGAAACAGGCACTTACTAGTCTGCTACTATCTAGCTGGTTCTCATCGACTTTTATTGGCTCGAACTTTTTCCAACTGGTTTTGCCTAGTTTTAACTGGTTGTGTTTTGTTGCAGTCCTGTACCCCACGCTGGCAGACCTGCATTGGGAACACTGATGACACTCTGGGCTTTGCCCTGGGCGCGCTCTTTGTTAAGGCGACCTTCGACAAACACAGCAAAGAGATCGTAAGTCACTGCACTGATTACAGCTGCAGAAAACAAGATCATAATCCAGTTACTACAGCAGGGACTGGTGGGCCTGGATCTCATACAGGTCTGCTGAGGTTAGTTCAGCTTGTATGTCTTTCTTGGTTTACCTGTCTGCCTTTCTCAGGCTGAGGTGATGATCAATGAGATCCGCTCAGCGTTTAAAAAAGCACTGGACCAACTTGGCTGGATGGATGACCAGACGAGACGAGCTGCAAAAGAGAAGGTACACAGCAGGTGGACAACAGAGCAGTCAGCATCTTTAACTTCACATGTACACCTCACTGTTTCTTTCTCTGTCCTGCTAGGCAGATGCAATTTACGATATGATTGGATTCCCAGAATTCATCCTGGACCCCAAAGAGCTGGACGACGTTTACGATGGGGTGGGTGACAGCTGTCAGTATTCACTAGTTCACCTGCAGGCAGGTGGGACAGAGGGACAGGTTGATGAGGGGAAGTAGTTGATTTAAGAGGTTGGTGTTTAGGGGTCAGTGTACAGGTGGTGCTCTGCTGCCCCCTGCTGTTACAAACACCTTGATACATGTCCTATAACAGCTCTGTGCTGTGTTTCAGTATGAAGTGTCCGATGACAGCTTCTTCCAGAACATGTTGAACTTCTACAACTTCTCAGCCCGAGTGATGGCCGACCAGCTGAGGAAGACTCCCAACAAAGACCAGTAACTCCAGCAGCACAAACCAACACATAACAAAGACCAATCACCAAGTCCAATGTTACATTCATCAAATCAGGCTGTATTCACAAAAGTTGAAAGTTTCTCCAGTATTTAGTTTTAGCTCTGGCACCAGCTACTGCAGAGAGTTTACCTCAACATGTTAGAGGTTTGAAAAGAGAGAGGTCCTGAAGGTGGTGGTGTATACAGTGGGTACAGAAAGTATTCAGACCCCCTTAAATTTTTCACCCTTTGTTATATTGCAGCCATATGCTAAAATCATTTTTCTTTTTTTTTTTCCTCATTAATGTACACACATGGACGGATGGGTGCTTCTGCTAAATACTGAGCAAAGGGTCTGAATACTTAAGACCATGTGATATTTCAGTTTTTCTTTTTTAATAAATCTGCAAAAATGGCAAACATTCTGTGTTTTTCTGTCAATATGGGGTGCTGTGTGTACATTAATGAGGAAAAAATGAACTTAAATGATTTTAGCATATGGCTGCAATATAACAAAGAGTGAAACATTTAAGGGGGTCTGAATACTTTCTGTACCCACTGTATATACAGATAATGAAGGTCTTAAAAAATGGAAACCTGGAGTAGTCAGGCTCTCTATGTGGCACTCCACACTGGATTCAACAGTTGCATTGATTATGAATTTGGTACCTGTAGATTTTGATTTGAGCTGAGCAGAAAATTCAGCTGATGAAGCGTGATTTAAAAGGTCTCATGATTCACATTGACTATCAGACCAAAAACCAAGCCATGAGAGGAAATGCCTAGAGCTGCATCATCAAACTGTGTGGCATTGTCATGGAAGAAGTCTGTAACCACCAGGGCTCTCCTGGACCTGGATGTCCCCCTGCACCAGTATATCACAGCTTGAGAGATTTCACCTTTTTGGTATTTGGTTCTCTGATCTTGGTTTTCTTCAAACATCTCACAGCAGCTTTGTGAACAGATCTGACGAGGAATCGGAGCAGGCGTTTAGTGCAGTTTAGGTGGAGTGCTGGTTGTGGAAGAAGATGTGAATTCAAGTCCTGGGTTTTCAAATGGATTTAACTCCTCATGTCCTTCTCTCCATGTTTCCTTCCCTTTCCTTCTCTCCTTGTTACCTGTCCTCCTCCAGGTGGAGTATGACTCCTCCTACAGTTAATGCCTACTACATGCCCACTAAGAACAGCATCGTCTTCCCTGCTGGGATCCTACAAGCTCCTTTCTACACCCATGACCACCCTAAGTCTGTTTACCTCCATATTTACCTGTGTCGCTAACAGACGACTTATTAGACCTAGTTTACAGAAGTAATCTCTTCTGATGTTGACTGACTGGATGCATATGACTCCATTATTTGGCTCTTAAACAGGCACTTGTATTTGTTAACAGTCTAGGTTGTGA